AGCCGGCTTCTCTCAGTGTTGGCTTTTCATTATTGCTGTTTGTCTCTTGTGCACCATCACCTTGTAGTAGATTTTGGTGTGTGCATTATGAATGAATGTTTGTGTGCCCACAGACATCATACGTTGATGCCGTAATTTCCAATGTGAGTGGTTTTTTTTTTTTTTTTTTTTTTTGGAGAAGGGCAAACATTCTCCCAAATAAGCTACATTCCCAGGGTTGATATGATTTCTGATAATAAAAAAAGGATAAGCAATATAATAAATATGAAATTTACTATTGTATTAGTCAGCGTTCTCTATAGGAGAAGAATGAATGTGTGTGTGTGTATATACAGATTTTTAGAATGGCTTATAAGTGTTGGTTCAGCTAATACAACAATGGTTGTCTACCAACAGAAGGTCCGAGAATCTAATAGCTGTTCAGTCCACAAGGCTGAATATCTCAGCTGGTCACCAGAATCCCAAAGAAGAAGGCTGTAATTCCAGTGAAGGGATGGCGTTGCCACGGACAGCAAGCAGGCAAAGAGAGCAGCAAGCTTCTTTCTTTCATGTCCTTTATTGAGGCTGTCAGCAGAAGGTTGTCCCAGAGTAAAGGATCTTCTAACTTCAAAAGACCAGGATTAAAAATGGGTCTTCCTATTTCAAATGATTTGACTAAGGGGGGAAAAACGGTTAGGGTGTGCCTAAACGTTTGGGTTTTACTCAATCCTAGGTGTAGTCAAGTTGAGAACCAAGATTGGCCATCACAACCATACAAGAAAGATGATGACGGGGTCTATGTAAGCAGAAGGAGGATAATAAAGCATGAGCAAAGAGGCAGACAGCGTCAGATAGATACTCAGGGGTGGGGTGGGGAGGTGCCATGGGGCCTTCTGGGAAACAATGATGATAGAATTATTAAATGATTTTCTTCCATTTAGATATAGAACTATATTTATTCAAATAACTTTGAGAATGAAATGCAAATGATAATCATCTTGAGAGGTGAGGGTACATAACAAAGCTAGTTACCTCCTCTCTTAAAAAATGAGGAGCCATTTGACACAGAAGGAAGCAGATATTGACTTAGACAGTGGCTTAGTTAGTGTTTCCGATTCTGTGAACAGACACCATGACCAAGGCAACTCATAAAAGACAACATTTAATGGGGCTGGCTTACAGGTTCAGAGGTTCAGTCCATTATCATCAAGGCAGGAACATGGCAGCATCCAGGCAGGCATGGTGCAGGAGAAGGAGCTGAGAGTTCTATAACTTGATCCAAATGCAGCCAGGAGAAGACTGTCTCATGGGCAGCTAGGAGGAGGGTCTCTTCCATACAGGGTGGAGCCTGAGCATAGGACCTCAAAGTCTGCCTATACAGGGACATAGTTCCTCCATCAAGGCTACACCTATTCCAACAAGGCCACACCTCCTAATGGTGCCACTTCCTATGAGCCAAACTTATTCAAACCACCACAGACACCATGAAGTCAGATCCAAGGTATGTAATAATTTCAACTTTGGAGGAATTGTAAGAATGGGTACACTTGTGACAGGAGTCAAAATCTAATGTCCACTTCTCCGCATCTGTCTGTCTCAGTTATTCATCACCGGCTTAGCTGTTTATTTCTTAAATGGAAAATGTCACTTCAGTAGGATGGTACCTAACAAACCTTGCAGTCAGACGACATTCTGTGGTACCTGGCCCGAGAGTGAGCATCACTACTGTTCCTTCTGGTAACAGTGGCCATTTCTGGGTACTATGATCTTGGAGTTTCTACTTCTTTGTATTTTCCCACATGCTTTGATTATTTATAGTGAATGTATTTAGCATCTTCACACACCATTTCAGCTCCAATTGTACTTTGTGGTTTTAGTGTCTTCTCAGCTATTAACAGTGAGTTAGAAGTTTAGCTTAAGTCTGGAAGCCAGGGAGTGTGTGACAAAGCCTGTCCCCAGGGGAGTGAATGCCCAGTGGGTAGGCTAATGGAGCCCTATCTGCTCCTGTGACTGATATGTGAGACAGCTGCCATAAAAGATAGTAGATGTATTTGCAACTTTTGAGAAATATTTGTTTCGTAGAACAGAGGACCCATGGTCAGTACAATACAGTAGATGTGAGACTCCAACGGTACCCTGTCTTTCTTGGTGCAGTGTGTCCAGACTTGCAGGTGTGACATTTATACATCCATGCCTATTAAGAGGCCCAGAGATTCTTGTATCCACAGGGAAGCATTAAGGAGAAACAGGGCTTCTCAATGGAGGAGATAAAATTCCTGTTTTCTTGCTCAGAAGGCCGGGGTTAGATTTTGTAAACAAGCTGGTGACCTTTCTGTCTGTGGAAGCAGACCACATCTTGCTATAGAAGCAAGCCTCATCCTAATTCCCCAGAATTTTTCCCAAACTCTTCCCTCACTAGACCAGTATCTGTCCATAGGGGAGATGTCACATGAACATTATGGCTAGCTGACCTGTGTGCTATTGGTCAGAGATCATATTAAATTTTAGGCCTTTTAGCTCATTTCTAAGTAGTCACACTTTAAGCTTTATTGTGCCCTGGTATTGGACTCATGGGTGCCTGGAAACTTTTTTTTTTATTGTTTTAAATACACTGACAATGAACCATCTGACATTAGACACTCCTGAAGTCCAATCCAGGTTGATGAAATCAATCTACACCAGGGGGTTTTCATTCTTACCTCTTTGTGAGATCTCTCTTCCCTGTGTGACACCTGCAGGGATATCCTCACAGGGAATCCACTGTTTTTCCAGTCACAGTAACAAGGATGTAGAACCAGTCTACATGCCCATTTACGGAAGAACGAGTCTCAAAAGTGTGTGTACATACACCGTGGAATTTTAGTCATCTGTCAAGAAAAATGAAATTAAGAAACTGGCAGGGAAATGGATGGAACTGTAAAGGTGGGTAACCTAGTCTCAGGAAGATGAAAAAAATCACGTGTTGTCTCTCATGTGTGGGTCCCACCTCTTAGCATTCATATGCTGTTGTGAGAGTATTTGTAGGGTGTTGTGGAAGTAGAGTAGCTGTCGACTATGAAACTCCATAGATGACCATGAAAGGAGAACAGAGAGGTGTTTGAGTCAAAGGGTCACTTGTGACAGGAAAGCAGAAAGCGGTTGGGGGCACAATGGAGGGAGGATAAAGAAGGGGGCAAGAAACAACAATCATGTTTGAAAAAATGCTACAGTGAAACCTACCTTTTTGTAGGCCAATAAAAAGTTCAAAAGAAACTGTAGGAGCGCACACTTCTGCCTTCCTTATTAAGGGCTATACAAGAGGATATAGAGAAACAGCTTCTGGGACAGATGATGAAGGCTGTTCACATGAAATCTGGTTTGTGGGCTTGTGACCTCCTCAGTGATGTCTATTGGATAGGAGAGGCATAATAGAAACTTAAACTTAAGTCACTGTGTATATTCTATATATATGCATACATATATATTCCAAATTTTATGTTAGACATAAATCATAGATGTTGTAAATATGTATCATATATTCAGAGACATTTTTATTAAGTACTGCTCTACCAAACATGATGGAAAAAAGAAAATAGATTGAAACTTGACTCTATTAATGCTATAAAATTCCACACAATTTGAATTCTGTAGAATTTTGCGTTTGTCTTTTAAAACCGTTAGTATTCCGAGATGCTGAAATCTCCGTTTCTCAAAGATAGGACCCGTTTCTTCTAACCCACACTTAGATAGCTCTTCCCAGTTCAGCAGATAAACAATTTAAATGGATCACGTCTCAAGTGGCCCCACTGCACTCGTTTGCTCATTGTGCAGCAGGGCCTGCAACAGAGGAAGAGCCTGCTCGCACACAGGAAGAGCCTGCACGCACACAGGAAGAGCCTGCGTGCTCACAGTATACTCCCCACTCTTCCAGCCTCTGGAATTCCAGGGTTTGGCAGAACACTGAGAAACTAGAGAGAATCCAAAGAAAACCCAGTGCTGACAGGATGCTGTGACATGTGGAAGGGGGTGTCACTGTAGGTCAGATCTGGGGTCCCCAGGAAATTGGGGTGATCTGGAAATTCATGATGCATGCTGTGTTAAAGCTTTCTCAGTGAGTTATCAGGACACATACCATGGCTGTCACAAGTCCAACCTCTTTATCCATCCTGCCTGTCAAGTCCCTGCCTCCACAGGGACCTTTCTTCTACCATGGTTGCTCCACTGATTATTGGAATCGCTCTGGGCCCCTGCATGCTCTTGTTGCCTAGCCTTGCTTTCAGTGAGTCACCAGATACCCTGGTAAGACAGCCCAGCTTGGGAAGGAAAAAAAGAGAAAGGCATAGACATTTCCTGCTGCTTTGTTCATGCCCACCATTGTCCTCGGGAATCCTTTAACCTCTCTGAAGCTCCCCTTTCCCTCTGAAAGACCAGCAATTACAATAGCCATGCTTACCTCAAGGGAGGTGAATATCAAAGGAGACGTGGGGGGGGGGGGGGGGGGGATGTCAGCAAGTCTTGCTTAGCATAGCATAGCATGCATGTTAATTATCTTTGTTGAAGTTTGAACGGGATGGGATTTGACGCCTAAGCAAATCTTATAAATGCTGGTCTTCCAGAGGGAGCAGAGCACACTGGGGACTTTCTCATATATACAAATATGAATTGCAGTTAAATTTGGTGTTTATATCTTTCTAAGTGTATTTGTTTCCGTTCCGATCCGGATTTTCTCCCAGCCATTTACTAGCCTTGGACCTGTTTTTTTTTTTTTTTCCTATCTTTTTAAAATCCTCTGCTTCCTCTCGAATATCATGAAAATAGCTGAACACATTCCCAAGGCGTATTAGCAAGATCCTTTGAAACAAGGCGTAGAGAACACTGCGTAAGTGATGCTTTTTAATCAAGAAAGGACTTAGCTGGAGCTTGCAGGCCTGGCACTGAGCTTGCCTGGGCTGTGAGGCGCTCGGTTAGCAGACTGGTCCAGCAGGGGGAGCCCGGGCACCTCACTGCAGCACCCCAGTGGCGGAGCGCAGCGGTGGCTGGCCGGAGCTCGCGTCCTGCCGCAGTCTCTCGGTTACTAGTCCGAGCGAGAGCGAGGAAGGAGACCCCCGTCCGGGCACCGACTTGCAGCCCGGGCGACTCCCACTCACGATCGCGGCCCCCCGACTCTCAAACGCCAACCGCAGCCCTCGTGGGACAGCGTGGGAAAGCTTCCTGGTCTCCGTGGCCGGATTGCGAACTTGGGGAGGACCGCGGCTGTCTCCCCGGCCTGGAGAGTGAACAGGTGAGTGACACGCACGTGTCCAGGTGGTTCTCGGAGGACAGGGTGCGAGCCCGTGAGGGCTCAACCCCTGGGTGAGTCCCGCAGGTCTCGGAGTCCCTCACCAAGGGCGACTTTGGGTTCTCCATGAGAGATGTGAACGCCGTCACCAGGCTTGACAGCGCGTCCTGCGCCGAGGGCGTCCTTCCGAAATAGGGGACATCTGCTCCCTATGTGGAGCCTGTGATCTGCAGAACCTGCAGCCCACTGTGGGCTTACTCCTGGCTGCAGGACCTGTTGATTTCAGGGTAGCGAGACGGCCTGGGGGCTTGCACAGTTACCACCTCTTTGCTGTGGGGGTTGCGTTGTGATAACATGAAGGAAATTTCCTAGCAGAGAAACTGAGAAATCTTGATTTCAGGAGAAGTCTGACCCGGACAGAAGCGATCTCCACACCACCAGACTGGATTCATTGCTGTTTTGAACAGCTGGGCTTTGCGCTCTCTCTCTCTCTCTCTCTCTCTCTCTCTCTCTCTCTCTCTCTCTCTCTCTCTCTCAGGCCATAAAAGCATTAAAATTTAATTATAAAGATGCCCCCACCCGCCTCAAGAGGAAGTGGAAAACTCTGACCTTGATAAACACAGTCTGGGAAATGATTTATTAGGAGCAAAACCTTTTGATAAGTAAATAAACAGATGGATGAAGCAGATAGAAACGCAAATGTCGTAGGTCGAACAGAGTCCCCACAGGTAGCCTCTTTGGTTTGTATATACTGTATATATGCAAGTGTGGAGAAGTCAATGTATTCTGTCAGTACCCGTCTTTCCTTCACTCTGTTTCCTCTAATGACTTCATGAGTAGGAAAAAGCAACGCCTTTCATCTCCTAAATATTTAGGTGTGATTTTATGATGGAAACTTGAAACTTGTTTGTTTGGTTTTGCCTCCGGGAAAGCAATCTGCTCCTAGAGTGAACTTCAGGCCATGGTAGGAATAGTTCCAGTGTTAGAACCAATGAGTTTCCTCAGATCTGAGGGATAGAAGGTCTCTGGTTAATTCAACAGAAACTTGCCTGTAGGTTACTATGACAACAATTGACACGTTGATGGTTTCTGTCAAATTTTCATGTGGAAATAAAATGTGAAGGCATCTTTAGAGGTCAGCGTGGCGTCTTTGAGTTGTTGTTGTTGTTTTTTTTTCCTAAACATATCAGGAGGCTGATAGTAAGCAGCTGGATCTTTATTACGTCACAAATGGGGACAATTTAACTAACACAATTTCTCATATGTGAGACCCATGAGCTTCGGAGGCCAAGGGAAGTTGCTGAAATATTTTAGATGAATAGGAATGACACTTTTGCATGAAAATGGCAAATTATTGTTTATGAATGCTTCTGACACAAGCATGCTCTGTGTTTCAAAGAAATGCAAGCCAGCAGCTATTCACAAGTTAAAATATAGTTAACATGCAAACCTTAAATAGAAGGCCCTTTCATAATGGGCCTTAATATAAAATGACAAATGAAGAATTTTGTTTTGACAGACAGCAGTGTCTGCTTAGGCGGCCTGGAATAGCCTGGAACTCATGGTGTAGCCCAAGCTGGTCTTGAACTCAGTATCCCCTCACTCCTGCTTCCTGAATGCTGGGGTTACAGGCCAGTACCTAAAGAAGGGCTTCATCTATAGCCAAAGAATGGGGCTAGACAATGAAGATCTTAGTTTGAGAGTCACTACAAAGTTGTCATTGTCTGTCTGGAGACGGAAGAAAAAGCCCCACCTGCCTCTTCTTCTTTTAGGGGCAGCCACACCTTAGCAACCTGCACACCAAAATGTGTGAAGTCCATGTTAATGGCTCAGATACATCAGAGAGAAGACAGGAGCCCACTCCTCTCTGTGGGATACGTATTCAGAGGGAGTTCTGTTTTTTCTTTCCCCTTCTTGGGCTGTCTTTGAAAGCTGTATACCGAAACATTGGCTTAGACAGGGTCAGTCAGCAGGTTTAAGTAACAGATTGTGATTAACCTCTCTTGGGGGGGGGGGGGGGCCCTTTGGATTTTTGAGAAAGTTTCTGTAATCCAGGCTGCCTCAAGTTGGCTTTGCAGCTGAGAGTGTCCTTGAACTTCTGATCATCTTTCTCAATTGTGGGATGATAGGTGTGTGTCACCATGCCTGGCACAAATACAACTTTACAGACTAGAACAGTGAATGACCTCTGAACTCCTGTGCCACTGAGTTAATGTATATAAAGTGAGGTTTTGAGTTCATGTCAGCCATTGATGGCGTTCAGGCAGTGGGAGTCCTTAGCCCGTGGGAAAGATGGGAAGCTTCCCATGGTTGGCTGTGCTAGGGGGCAACCACAGTGAACATATCCAGATCTCTGTTGTGACAGCTTGTCAGGTTATATGTCAAGTTGTGAAGGAGGGAACTCCCATGTTTTTAGTCATTAAAACAGTGAGTGCCTGGGGACAACTGTGCATATGTTGAGAGGGGAATGGGACAGTCAAGACTTTAAGCAAGTTTGTTTTTCCTTCGTTGTTGTGTGACCCCTAAAGAATACTTCAACAGCTAGCCTCCACTTTTCTGAAAAAATGGAAGCCTCGGATGGGGTAGCATCCTGAGGGCTGCTGGGTTGGGTAGCCAGATCTGAGTGTAAGAAATGACTTGTTTTTATAGAATTGAGCCAGGACATCATAGCCTCAAGTGACAGACATACCACAGCCTAATATAATAAACAGGTTAGGGAATTTTCCTAATTGGAAAAGGCTGTCTATTAATGACACTACTTCCAAAGGACATAAACTTATCTTGAATACGTGCTAGTGACTAAACAGACACAGATTAGTTGGCTGGCAGGGGAAAAGCTTTCTGCGCTAGCTGGGAGATTGCTTTGATTGATCCCACACCCAAAGCCTTTTCCAAGTTTACGTTTTCTTGGTACTAAGAGCCCAGATGTTGGGCTGATGGTATAACCTGTGGCCAAGATGTTTGCCCACCATCAGAGTGAGGCCTTAGATTCACTTCCCTACACAGCATAAAATGCAGCCAACAAAGACCCCAGACTAAGTAGCATCTTAAATACAATGAGCATAAGTTGTAGACAGTGCCATGCTCCAAGGGTGAGGGCACTGTTATAAACAGGCTCGCCTGAGATGGTGGTGCATACCGTTTGTGTATTAGGGTATCCTACCCAGCAAACATAGAAGTATGATTGAATATTATCTATTGGCTTTCGAACCATGTGCATAAGTGCTAGGTAAGTTTATCCTGTGTTCTAGTGTGAACTGAGATGAAGTTTAACCTTGAAATAGAAAATTGGATTCTGTGGCAATGGAGTTGACAAATATCAGTGTATACTGTTTAATAAAGCGATCCCAAGAGCTTCTCCCCATTATGTATATGTATACGCTTATGCTTAGTATATATAAACAGGAAGTAGATGCATTCATTCACTTACCACTTATCAATTATGCCAAAAACAATCTATTCATTAAAAAAATCACATTAGAGGAAACGTTCTAAGAGATAGTGTGTATACATACATTAAAACCAAACAGTTCTAGATTCGTCTTAAGATTTATTTTCTTTTTAATTATGCATATGCGTGTTTGGAGGTGTGTACATGTGAGTACCTGTGGAGACCACAAGAGAACTTTGAGTAATGTGGGTGCTGGGAACCAAACTCAGGTCTTCTGAAAGAGCAATGTTCGCTCTTAAGCACGGAGTCGGCCCCCGGCCCCAGATCTAAATTCATAAGTCCCATCTTCCCTTCCTAGTTAAGTGGTTTACAGTGAGTTACTACTATCGCCCTTTCTCTGAACAGTGGTGAAAACCCAATTAGAAGATAAATCACCTGGGGGTGTGACGGTCAGTGGTAACTGTCAGCTTGACAGAATTCTGGAAGTCACCTGGGAGATGGAGTTTTGAGCAGGCCTGTAGGAGATTATCTTGATAGTGTTGAGAGGGGAAGCCCCACCCACTGTGAGGTGAACAACAGCATGCTTTGATCCTGTAATGTTTCCTGGCTGTAGATGTGACATGGCCTACTGCTTCATGCTGCTACTGTGTTGCCTTCCTGACAGCTGTGATGGACTGTATTTTGAACTTCAGACAATAATAAGCCCTTTCTCACTTGTGTTTGTTACAGTGACGGGATAAAAAACTAAGATAAAGGGTGGCGTGTGTGTGTGTGTGTGTGTTTGTACACACGAATGCATGTGCACTCCTGATATTTCAAAGATACAGATTTATTTCCAAAATCTCTTTTCCTTGAAGGATTGTGAACTCCTGTGATTGACGATGACACAGTGAAACTGAAGGCCACCACCAACACCATCTGCTCACATCCTGAGTCTGAACGTTAAACCCTGTCACCATCAACCATGGCTAAGAGCGCAGAGGTCAAGCTGGCCATATTTGGAAGAGCAGGCGTGGGCAAGTCAGGTAAGGACCTTCTGGTGGCATTTGCAGGGCCTGTGAGTTTGTCACAGTTTTGAGGATGGGGGAGGTAAGCAATCAGAGTTTGTGATGTCCCATCTGTTGTCTCTTCTCTGTATCTGGAAGCCTTTTAATAACCAACTCACGAATTCTTCTGCTGATTTGTGACAAAGTAAATCTGCTGATCACATAACGGAGAACCATATAGATCATAAACAACTTCCGAAGAAATCAAATTGTCGAAGTTTCATAAAATACCTGAATTTTTTTCCTACGTTCTTTCCTTTACTATGGAGGATCACAAGGGGTCAGTTATATGTCTCGTTTGTTTGGATATCCTCAACAAATGGTCCAAGATCAAGCAGATGTCAGGAGTCCCAGTGTGTGTCTGTTGAATGGATCTGTCTTTGCCAGTGATGGAATTGTTTCTTGCCCAAGATTTCTGTAGTGGGATGAGGACACTTGAAAAGTAGGAGTGTAAACTCCCAAGCAAGATAGCTATCCTGCAGAGCAAATTTAAATGAGTAATTTTGAGTAACATTGATAATATAGAACCCTCCTTTTCTTTGGCAGTGCGTTGAGGGTGGAAGCCCAGATTCTGTACATGCTAGGCCATCACTCTACCCCTGAGCAACATCCCTTGCCCTAGGTCCTTTAGAGAGTTTCACAACAGAGACTGAAGGTATCTCTTACTCCTGATACTTACAATAAGTGTGTGCTAAAGGAGAGGCCACCCAAGTGTTAATGCCATCAGACTTTACCTGTGATGGGGGCTTGGTGTCTTCTGGGAAGGAACCAAAACCACACGGAGCTTCTGGCTGTCAGCAAAGGACAAGAGGACATGAACGCCTCTGGTGGGTGCTTCTGGGTAGACAGAAACCTACCAGGATGTAAAACCAGCTAATCCCCACACAGGTAATCGATATGCTCTTAAAGAAACACACACACACAAACACACACACACACACACACACACACAGACATTCCGGTTCTGTGCCCAACTTCCTTCTAACCGTCCTCCTGGTTCGAGTCTCAGTCATGACCTGCCATGCTGTAAGTCTTAGTCTCTGGTTTTTCTCAGCTCCTTTTCTGCCACCACTTGCTTCTCCTTAGCTCTTCTTGCCTTTGGCAGAACCCAAGCAAGGAGAACAGCAGGCCAGGACCGGAAGATGCTCAGGCTCCTCCCCTTTAATCTCCCGTGGTGTTTCCCAATGGCATGAGAACCTCTGTCTGTAGCTGGTGGAAGGATCTGGAGAATGAGGAAACTGCCCCAGGGCGTGTCTCTCTGTCGGAGGGAACAGAATCCTTTGGGACTGACAGAAGGGTGTGAAGGGAGCGGAGGGTGGGCAGGCGGGCAAGCCGTGTGGCTAACAGTGGCTCAATTCATGTGACCGAGGAGTTTGGCTGGCTATCTTTTCCATCTTTCTTCCTTTCTTTTCTTTTCTTTTCTTTTCTTTTCTTTTCTTTTCTTTTCTTTTCTTTCTTTTCTTTCTTCTTCCTTCCACATTCCAACAGGTGGAATAAGAGGAAGGGTTCTTCTAAGCCCTTCTGCACGGTTTGGAAGGCTGAACACAGAGCCAGCGAGATGACCGCGCAGGTGGGAGAGCTCACTGCTCAAGCATGAGCTGAATCCCCAGCACCCGTGTAACAAGCCTTAGCTACGGGTGATGGAGTAGGCTTGCTGGAGCTTGCTGACAGCCAGCCTAGCTCCAGGCTCAGTGACCCGTTCTCAAGGAAATTAGATGGAGAAAAACCAGAATACCAAGCACTTTGACGGAGCCTCTGCTCACACCCCACACAGACCACACATGTACATCTCTCCCAAATAAATTTTTTAAAAAAATTATAAAAATAATATGAACCTAGAGATTAAATCTCAGGGAAGAAGTACTCGGGTCTGTGAATGCCCATGAGTGCCCCACTCTGTCAGAGTGAACTGAATCCCCTCTCCAGGCTTACCCGCTACCTTGAATTGTGCCTCAGTTTCCCTGATGGACCTTCAAAGCAATTTCCATCATTGTTCCCATCATTCCCAGCTGACTGATTTCCTCCAAGCCTACCTGCCTGTGCTCACATCTCCATGTTGGTTTTTCCTCAAGTTTAATGAACACAGGGGCTATGCTTCCTGTCTTAACTTTTTTGCCCATTTATTGCGTAAAGACATGCTAGCCTGCCACCATAGCCATTCCAGAGAAGCTGACTTTGCTCAGGTCACTACTCATCAATCTTCTAGAAAGCAAGTCAATAAACCTGCCATCCAGTGCCCTCTTCTCCGTAACCACATAACAACACAACCGATCTGTCTTTCCCAGGTTATCTTTCCAACACATCCTAGGGCATTACCCTCTCTCTTGGCTTTCTGGGTCCTTCTGTGGATTCCAACCGGTTGTCCTCTGCTTGCCTCTGACCTTGGGTCTTCTGGGTGCATCGGTATGATGACTAGACCCCCAGATTCTTTCCATTTCCTGTGGGTGACTCTTCATATCCAGAGGAAAGATGGCAGCCACTCTAGGGGAACTTTGGCTGATAGCTTTTTTACTGCTCAGGAAGGTCCTTACCAACTCTGAATCTTAACAGTTAAGAGATAAGCCTTCTTGCTTGGGTTCATTTGTCTGTCTTCTCTGCATGTGTGTGAGAGAGAGGGGGGAGGGGGATTGAAGGAGGGAGGGAGGGAGGGAGAGAGGGAGAGAGAGAGAGAGAGAGGGAGAGAGAGAGAGAGAGAGAGAGAACATTGTGGTGGCCAGAGGACTACTTATGGGAAAATTTCTCTCTGTCCACCACATGGGTCCCTGGAGAGGGTAGGAGTGGGGAGTTGAACTCAGGGAGCCAGGCTTGGTGGCAAGTGCCTTTTCCCATGGAGCCATCCTTCTAGCCCAGCTTCTTCCACGCTTTTCACTGTGGTGAAAATGATAACGACAGACAACCCGTCTCTCCCATGACTTGTGTGTTCTCTGTTTTCCAGTTTCAACACTTGAATGCTTCCTTGAGATCTGAGCCACACCCCTCATTGAGAAGGTAGCAGTCTAGACTCAGGCCTGCAGACCATTCTGAACTTTTCCACAGCTCAGTGGAATCCACCACAGACGATCTCTCAGTTTTAAAAACACACTGTAGCAATACTAAGCTCATGTTTACAATGGGGTGTGTAACTATCGCTACCTTGTTTCTGCCTGGCTGGGACACCACACTGCCACCCCCCAGCCTTAAAGATTACACTGGTATATAAGTAACCTTTGCCTGCCCCACCTCGCT